ATTCCCACATTCCCGCATTCCCCCATTCCCGCATTCCCCCATTCCCCCATTCTCGCATTCCCCCATTCCCCCATTCCCGTTCCCTATTTTAAAGATAGCCGTTCCAGAGGTGTTCCGGTCTGTTCCATGCTAGCTGTTCCGGAGGTGTTCCGTGCCATTCCGGACTGTTCCAAAGGTGTTCCCTGCTGTTCCGGAGGTGTTCCGGGCTATTCTGGAGGTGTTCCGGGCTGTTTCGGGCTGTTCCGTGCTGTTCCGGAGGTGTTCCGGGCTGTTCCGGTGTTCCGGATTAGTGTTCCGGGTTTTAGTACATGCCTTCCCAGTAAGCCAAACGGTCATACTATCGACGTTGTAACGACATCGCGGTATCGACGTCGAAACGACGTCGTTTTCTCGACGTCAAAACGACGTCGCATTACCGACGTTGAAACGACTTCGAAAAAGGTTCGAAAACGCAAAGCGAATCGACGTTGGATTTGCAACGTCAAAACGACGCGAATGGGGTAGGGCATAATATATTTTAATTAAAGGCAAAAAGTCAGAAATGCACATATACAATTTTGTATAAGAAATATTGATTATCTTGACCATAATTACATAAAAACTACTATACAAAGTCGTTAATTGATGCTAACTAGATCGTTATTACATACAGCGTGTCAAAAAATGGAGCAATTAAAGGTATTATGCATGCATGTAAAATTATATTTTGATAAAATTCAAATTAGTTTAATGCATTGAACGCACTGCGTCTCTGATGGGTAAGGAAAAAGGCAGAAGGCATTTACTCACTCATATGGGCTTTTTAAGACACGTACAGGGCTTTTTCAAGCATTAACACTAATTTGAATTTCATCAAAATATAATTTATATATCAAAGTCTATAGTCTTTTTAAATTATTTAACGTTATCGTGATTAGCCTTTTACCGTAGTTAATAGAAAATAACCATGGTTTGGATGCTTGACAAAAGTCATTGTTCTATGGTTCATTGTTCATTGTGTACGCTGGAAATTTGTGCACTCGGATTATGTATAACGAAGCGATTATCCAATAGAAAAGCGACTTCAGTGGCTGAACATTAATATAAATATTATTCAACGCAAGACAACATTTGTGCACTCGGAATCTCGTTTACCCAGATTTCAACATCAGTTTAAGTTTGAATAAGTGACTCTTTGAACTTTACCGGCCTTCCAAACCATGGTCGTTATTCACTGCTTGCAGTTTGAGCACTCTGGCAATGGTTTGATGTCCCACATTCGAGAGACATCAAAGGTAACTATTTATAGTGGTTACTTTCATCCTGCTCATTAGCACTACACTGATGAGGCCCAAAAGGTCGAAACGGTACCGTCTGTAGAAAATTTGATATGTATGGGGATTGACAAGTGACAGTTTACTAAATAGCCTGCTGCCTGCTGTATAGACAATTCGAATATTGTTTGCATGAAATTTTTATTCCTGACTGCATAATTATCCATTACGATCATTATCACATCATAAAATTAGTTAAATTTTCTTCTTTTTTTAATAACTTGACAATCAATAAGATCGAAGGTCAGGACAACGGAACAGAAGTTCCCAATTAAGTCCCACCAAGACAACACAAATACAGACGTACATAGAAACTATTTACAACAGTAAAAACTAATCTCGATTGAAGAATGCTCGAATGGTTAATCTATTGGAACTCAGTTTGTGACGAATTTATATGAGAAAAAAAATGTATCAAGAGTTATAACGAAAACTGAGCATATTAAGCAATAATTATAACAGATTAACCCATCGATCATGCTACGAGCACCTAGGTATTACGAACAGCAGTTTATTTGCAGTGATCTACAATTACTGCATAGTGTTTTCCAAGTTCTACACCTATCTGCATCAAATACTGTAATCAGTTTATTAAAGTAATATTCATATAGTTTAGCTTTAAGGACGTATACAGAAGAAGATTTAATATCACTAGGCAAGCTTCGGTGTACTTTCTAATCTTCTGAATTCTGCAAGATTTCACCACCCAAAATGCTTGAAATCGCATTTCAGGGACTCTAGATTTCAAAATTCGGGGGTGCATGCCCCCCGGACACCCCTAGATGGTTGTTGTATCCTGTACTTAATTCATTCCAGGCTTAACCTTTCACACACACACCCATATCATATATCCTAATTGCCTGTCAATGCTTGTATATATATTTACTTAATTCTATCAATAAATTAGTCTTTGATTACAACTAGTGCGAGTAGCATATATGCTAGAGGTCTCTATAACCCAAACAAGCAAGATACAAAAGTGGCGACGAGGATAACTAACAAACATGAGTGATGATGAAAGTGCTACATCTTCAGGGAAAGACCAACCGGCATCAAAACAACCAAACCCTACAACACAAAGTTTTAACGCTCCTAGAAGTGGTCTACCCCCTTTTCCCCCATTTGACCCAATCACAGATTCAGCAACAGTGTCTCAACGATGGAAGAAATGGATACGGCGTTTTGAAAACCTACTCATCAGCCTTCGAGAGTTCGACTCGACCATCCGGCGAGGTCTTCTCTTGACATACGTTGGCGAAGCAACAAACGATATCTTCGACATTCTGCCAGACACCGGTACAACGTATGAATCAGCCGTCGACAGTTTAACGCAGTATTTCACTCCGCGTGGAAACAAAGATGTAGCTATATTCGAATTTCGCGAGTTGACACAAGAAACTAACGAGACTCTAACTGCGTATTATCGAAGACTCAAAACCAAGGCAACAGACTGTGAATTCGCGAACGAAGACGAAGAGATTAAAATACAAATCATCCACAAGACACGAGACCCAAGATTGCGAAAGAAAGCCCTTCGTGAAAGCATGGACTTAAAAGCCTTATTAGCGCACGGAACTTCGCTAGAAATTACGGATCAACAAGCGCAACGACTAGAAAACGCAAACACAGACCTAAACGCATTGGAAAGAAACCGCCAGCCATCAGCATCGCAACCACGGGGTGCATTCAATCGCAGACGAAAACCACCACCGGACGGAAAGAAAACCTGCCGAAACTGCGGTGGAGCATTTCCACACAAAGACGGAATGCAGAATTGCCCTGCTCGAGGAAAATCCTGCCATAATTGCGGAAAACTCGGACATTTCGCAAAATTATGCAAATCGAGCAGTAAATCGGTAAAACATATTACCCCACTCAAGACACCCGATGACAGATACTTACAAGACTCGGACGATAATAATTGTTTTACCTTAAAGTCAACGCCAAATAAGTCACCTGAGACTCAGATCAAAATTGGACACACTCCAGTGAAAGTACTAATCGATTCCGGCGCATCTGTCAACATTATTCACACTGAAATATTCGAGCGCATTAAAAGCGAGAACAATCACATTAAACTAGCCAAAACAAACGCAAAAATTCGTGCATACGGAACTGATAGCCCCATAGACCTTTCTGGAGAATTTCACACAACAATTAAATCAACACACGGTCAATCTATAGACGCAACGTTTTACGTCACAACGGCAAAATCCCAATGTATTCTCGGCTGTGAATCATCTACGGCATTCACTAATAACATTGAACATAAACAATATTGCGCAGCACGAGGATCCAGTTATAGCGAAGTTGCTCAAGCAACATGAAAAACTTTTCAAAGGAACCGGCAATTTGAAAGGCGTTGAGGTCAAACTCGAGATCGATAAATCCATACCACCCGTAGCACAGTCGTCCAGACGAATTCCGCACAACATGAGAAAAAAAGTAAACGAGAAATTACGTGAAATGCGTGACGACGGCATCATTGAAAAAGTGGAGGGTGCAACACCATGGTTATCCCCACTCATCGCCATTCCAAAGAAAACTGGTGACGTCAGACTGGTTCTCGACATGCGCGTTCCAAACACAGCTCTAATCAGACGTAGAGTTCAGATCCCAACCGTTGACGAGATTCTACGCCAGATGGAAGGAGCTAAAGTATTTACGGAAGTCGATCTGTCCCAAGGCTATCTACAACTCACCCTCGCGGAAGAATCGAGATATATCACTGCCTTTACCACCCCCGACGAGGGCCCCCACCGTTTCAAGCGTTTGATAATGGGAGCATCACCCTCTGGCGAATACTTCCACGAGATAATCCATGAACTTATCAAGGACATTCCTAGATGTGCAAACATCTCAGATAACATCTGGTTATGGTCCGATGACCGACAGTCCCACTATAAACAACTCGAACAGTTGTTAACCAAATTGGAGTCCAGCGGTTTAACCCTCAAACTACCCAAATGCTCGTTTTCAGTTCCAGAAATCAATGTCTT